AAGCTTTAGTTAAAGAACTGTGTTATTCTATATAAATAGTGAAACACTAAGTTTTATTCACAATGTAAAACTTAAAAAATAGTGAGTGATAAAATATGAAATTGGCTGCAAAATGAAGAATTGAGTTGGGCTTTAAAAATATTAAATGAGTTGCATAATATAGAAATATTATAGTTAAATTTTAACTCTTAAATGTTTATATCGTAAACCCTTTATTCTTTTTAATTATTATAAATTATATTATTCGTACAATTTATATTTTTATAATAAATTAATTTATATTTATATATTTATATTATAATTGTTTTTTTTCAAATATCTTTAATAAATATAAATATATACTTATCTATTTATAATACATAAACAATTATATCTTGATGAGCTTTATATCAAATCTTAAACTCATAATTATTAAATATATTATTTTTTTCAGTTGCTATTTAATTTTATCACATATTTATCATATATTTATACTATTGCTTCATTTAATTCATATTAAAATAATTTAATATTTAATACATCATCCGGTTCAACCCCCAATATAACTCCAGTTGAACATTTGAATCTTGAACATCTCCTTGTAGTTCAATGGTCGGTAAGGTTTCACAACTTCGATATTTTTTCACCAATTTGTACTTCATTGGCCTTTGAGCTAGGTTCACATTCTTATGTGTTGGAGATATGTTTCCCACCTATTAGAGAAATGAAGATCATTTTGCTTAAGTTGAGTGTATTTACGAAATGACGAGGAAGTAGTGAAGCTTCAATAGGTTGGATAAACTAATAAAGTTATGAAAGAGTTTTCAATTCCTGAAAGGCTTTTATAGGTTGAAAGACGTGCAACATAAAATGATCATTATCCACGGATTTGATGAGGACAGTGGATGACCAAATAGGTTCCTATCTATAAATTCCTATTCTTAAATTTCCTCGCCCTAAAATTCAGGTTTGAAATAAGATTAGTATTCAAAGAAGGTTACATTTGTGAAGTTATAAATTTTTCTAATGATCAAATAATAACATTTGTGCATTTTTTATCTAATTTGGAAGTGTCCAATAAATATATCCCCGATAGATTTACAATTTACTGTGTTGGTGCAGAAAAGAATGTGAATGAGATTAGGCACCCAAAGAGTTTTATCTAAGAAGAATAAATAATTTTGATCTTAAGAAATGAATAGAGAAAGCTTGGAATAGGGGTTTGAAATTTAAGTACACTTGAAAGCAATCTATTAATGAGATGCATATAGATCAACTTGTTCCCAGAGATATTTAAGAATATTTGTAGAGAATATTGGTGCTCTAACCACACCTAAGAAATATTTATTATCTTTCGTCAACCCATTTTTTGTTGAAATATTTAAAAAAGTGTCCTACTTCAACTTTTTATTTTTTTTAAGAAAGCATAAGTGAAACAAGTATAATCATCAATGACGATAATAAACAACCACTTTAAAGAGATTTTAACTATATATAATCCCAATCCATCTCTATGGACTAAAGTAAAAGGTTGGGAAGCTCTGTAGGGTTAATTAAATAGAAACTACAAGTGTGCTTAATCAAATGATAAATTTTGCATTAAAAGTCCTTTAAATTTTTGTTAGTTAATAAAGAGAAATTAACTTTTCAAGATAAGCTCGGACGACCTAGGTGATCGTGCCATGGCCAAACATCATTATCATTATTTTAAATACAAGTTTTGAAGGATGCAGACCCACTGTATGAGCTCATACAGAAATAAAGGTCATTCTTTAGATGTTAGTTCCTAAAAATATCATCATACTATCGATCATATTCCTCGAGATAATGCCCTCAAATTGGCAACGATTAAATGAAAAATGATTCACATAATTTGATTTAAGCGAGTTTGTTAAATGATCATATGTTGAAATCTAAATTAGGCATTAAAAGCATAAGTGTCTTTGAAAGTGGCCCATCTGCAATCCGAACATCACAATTTTAATGGCATGGATCACAGTTGTGATAAATATTACGGTCTCTTATCATATGATCTCCCAACCACGAGCCTACAATCCTATAAGTTTTCATCGTGCTTTGCAATAAGGGCGTCCGAGAATTGACCTCTTTGAGCAACCAAGCTTATTGTGATGATACCCTGAAATAATGTTTTCTAGGCAGGAAAGTTGGTCATCAAAAATTTGTTGTGCAAATAGCTAAAAACAAAAAGGATAAAATTGTTGTGAAATTCTTTGTTGTTAGTTCTGTTCAAAAAGATTCAATTTGGTGTTTCATCATAGATTTTTCATGTTTTGCGTTTGGAGTTTTCATTTTGAGGTTCCCCTCTACTGTTGAAGTTATAGGCTTCTAAACCACTAGCTTCTTCATGATAGATGTCACCATCTTCATTCCAGGAGGAACTTTCACACATGCTTTTGCACTATTGTTAGCTGAAGATTGCTTTTCATTGTTGTTAAATGACTCATCAGCCTCACAGGTTGCAAGGCTTTAAAGACTCTGCTACCAACATGGAAATTAGAATGAGATAAGAAGGGTGTAGAGCATGGAAGATTTTATGACTGAACTTTATTCCTTTCTTATGTGTCAAGACGGAATAAATGGACAAATAACTATACTGTAAAAAACTAACATTTAATTAACAATTTATAATTAAGTAAACGGCAGAAAAGGAATGTTACTGTTCATGAATTATTGGATTATTTCAGATGAAAAATTATTGTTCATGAATTACTGAGATGAAAAAGGGCTAACCATGCATTAAAGATTATTTCAACAGAGGAAGATTCTGATGAACAAATGAAAATAATCAAAATAAATGCAGAAAAAAATATGCTATTAGTTTTACAATGCTCAAGTGCTGATAGTTTTGATCAAGAATTTAGAAGACATGCTAAAAAATTTTAAAAAAAAAAAAGCACGGTCATCAATTAATTCCTGGTGGATGGAGCACTCCAAATGAATAAGTAGATGTGATATGGTGTTGATACAAGAGTTAACCCAAAAAGCCAAACGGAATTATAATTTTATTACTGAAATTCAAAAGAGATTACAAACATGACGCTAAAAATAGGAAAAAAACAACAAAAACACAAAAACTCTAGGGCGAGGATCGACGGAGCTGGGTTGTGTGTCTAGATAGCAGAAACGGAGAACTATAGGTGGTAAGAAGTGTTTCCGGTAGCGATGGGAAGTTGGGTTGGCAGCTGGACAGCGAACAGAAGGGCGGTGAGAGAGTGCGGCAGCAAGCCGGAATTGGATTGGGATGGCTGGATAGCAAGCAAGGGATTGTGATACGACACGGAAGCAAGCAACGGCGGCTGGAAGGTAGAAAAATGCAGGAAGAAATAGCAAGACAGCTGTTCCAGGAGTCTGAAGCAGGGACGTAGTGGCCAGGAGCGATGTAGGAGAATGCAGAAGAGGATAAGGGAAGATAATAACCAACTCGGGAGAGAGATACACTCGAGGACACCACCCAATCTCTCGAATACAGCCCTCAAAGGGAGAATAATGGACACCAGCGGTTCCTAAACTAAACACACGAAAAACTAAAAAAAAACCTAAAATCACATAAATAAGCCCTATGGAAAAGAGGGGGCAAGCCCACATAGAAGAGCAGGTCTAGACTGGTTAGGTCCTAAGGTCTACAAATCAAGTTACTTATTTCTTTATGCATCTAAAAATGCTGAAGGCTTAAATTGGCATGACTTAGATTTGTAGATATTTCATCATTATAGTTAGTGATTTATTTAAACCTTATGTTTTTCTTAAGTGGTTTTGCAACGTAAAAAAAGGAAAAGACATCCCATTAATAAAGCATAAGGTTTCATTCCATTACGATTTAAAAAAAATAAGAATTCTTGCAATAAACTAGCTGTCACCAACAAAATTATCCATTTGTTCAGATGGTTATCAATGTGCTACCAACGCCACGAACAGATTATCAAAATAAAAAAGATAGAGATATATCTTCTATTGCTCATGCCCTGCATCCATACAGCATCATTAATTTTAGCAAAATAGAACAATTTTTGTCATATCTACGAGAAGCCATGCCATAGGCGATTCTTTTTAAAAATATTTTTCTTAATATCTGTATGGAGCTTTAATGGATTTCATTATAAATTACTTCAGTACATTGGTTAAGGATAGCTCAATTAACATGAAACAAAAAGGAAAGAAATGATGAATAGGACATCATAGAGATTCCTTAAGACAAGATTCTTTGATGAATAGGACATCATGGAGATTCTTTAAGACATGATTCTTTAAAAAACTAGAACTACTTAAGACAAGATTCTTTGATGAATAGGACATCATGTTCTTTAAGACATGATTCTTTAAAAAACTAGAACTAGAGATTTCGCTTTCCAAAATAATTTTGGGTATTTTCCATACATACCAATCAATTCCTTTTTATTTTCATATCTAACACCCAAATTTTCCTTTATTACATTTACACCACCCAAATCTTTCAAATCACACCAAAAATAATATCATTGTAACTTTTAAAAAGTCGTATACACATTTTCATGCATAAGTAAAGTGGTATGTACGTAAAAATAAAAGTTCAGGTGTTAGATATGTAAATACATAGAAATTGAGTGGTATGTATGTAAATCTTCCAATAATTTTATGCATCACTACATTCATTCACCATATTATATTTTGGGATATACATAATCTCTCTTTAAATGCCCAAGAGATTATAGCTAACTATCAAAGCAAAAGTAAAAAGTTTTTTTAAAAAAATAGACTATAAATATTATGACCAGTAAAAAACAGCTTCTATAATTCTTTCAAAATAAATCTAAACAAGCCAATCCATACCATGCCTCCCATAATTGAAGGGGTAAACTAATAACCGCAGAAGAATGAAAAGGATACAGGGATAGAACAGAGAATGGAAATGCAGAATATGAAGTACTGAAAACAATTAACCTTGTTACAGGGAAAGTTATTTCATATACAGATGAAGGCAGAGATAATATTCTCTGCGGGAGTTGGTTATGATATGGGTGTACCAGTGATGATGGGTAAGAGTGGTGGTCCTAGCATACAGCAGATGATGAGAAGCACTACTGGAATAACTGAATAGAAGGTGCTGATATTACCCCCTTGCAAGCTGAAAGATCTCATTTGAGAGCTGAAGCTTGGAGCGAAGAAGCTGAAAATGTTGCTTAAGTAGTGATTTGGTGAAGATATCCGTCGTTTGATCTTGGGTATGTATATAGTGTGGTTGAAGATGACCAAACTGAATGTGTTGCCTTATGAAGTGACAATTGATTTCGATATGCTTCGTCAGGGCATAAAAAACTAGGTTGTTGGCGATGGTCATAGCTGACATGTTGTCATAGAAGAGTGGTGTTGATTGTTCCTGGAATGCCCAATTCAACAAGTAAGCGATGAAGCCAAATAAGATCTGCGGTTGTTGCGGCCAAAGCGCGATATTCAGCTTCCATGGAGGATCGAGCGACCGTAGTTTGTTTCTTGGTTGTCCATGAGATTGGTGTTTCACCTGAGAAGGTGTAAAAGCCTGTGACTGACTTCCGGTCAAGTGAGTAGGCAGACCAATCAGCATTGGAGTAGGTTTAAAGTGTAAGAGCATGAGAAATTCTGAGAGCCAATCCGATGGTGTTTTCTAGGTAGCGAAATAAGCGTTTAAGGACCTAATCGTGATAGACGAGCGGGCATGCATGGGTTGGCAAAGGGAATTGACGGCAAATGCAATGTCAGGGCGAGTTATCGTGAGATATTGAAGGGCGCCGATGATTTTCCTGTATTTAGTAGGATTGTCAAAAAGTTTATTATGAGCAGCAACTTCATACCTCTTTGCCGGAAGCGGAGTTGCAATCGGTTTGCAATCAAGCATGGATATGTCGTGTAGAATACGATGAAGGTATTGATGCTACGACAAAGACATAAAATCTTTCATGCGGTTCACGTAGATGCCCAAGAATCTAGATACTCCGCCTTGATATTTGATTTGGAAGGTTGATTGTAGTTGTTGTATAAGGCACTCGATAGTCTTGGTATCATCTCCTGTAATTACCATATCATCTACATAGATTAGGACAAAGAGTTTGTGTGCCTTGGAGGAGGAGAGCAACAACAATGGATCAGACTTGCTGATGTGAAAACCTCGTTGGATGAACAATGTAAAGATTGTGGCAAACCATTGACGGGGCAATTGTTTTAGGTAGTATAATGCTTTATTGAGTAAATATACACGATTTCAAAATTTAGGATCATTGAAGCTGATCGGTTGCTGCATATAAATTGTGTCTTCAAGAGTTCCATGCAAGAATGCATTAAAGACGTCAAATTCAAGTAGTAGCCACTGCTTGTTAAAGGCGAGAGTGAAGAGAATGCGGAGAGTGGCCATTTTGACAACTGTACTAAAGGCCTCGAAGTAATTGATGTTGAATCCTTGTTTGTATCCTTGAGCGAAGAAGCGAGCCTTAAATCGAGCCACTGTTCCATCAAGATTAAAATTTTGTGTGGTATGTCCAGCGACATCCGAGAGCTTTCTAGTTTGGTGGGAGGGGAACTAAATCCCATGTGGCTTGTGCTTGGAGTGCATGAAATTCCTCAAACATGGCCTTTCACCAATGAGGTAATTTGAAGGCTTGGTGAATGAAATTGGGGGTCAGAATTTTGTTGGAGTTGGTGGGTTGTTGGAGTTGGTGGGAGAGGTTAAGTTTTTGGATAGGTTTTAGGCATTTTGTTTTTGTTCGGTTGAACATAGAATGGGGAAAGTGTGTTGGCGAGGCAACAGCTGGGTCGGGCCGTGAGGAGTTGTGGTGGCATGGGGAATGAAGAGGAGTTGGGAAGTATTGTTGGTGTTACAGGAGTGTGGGATTTGTGGGAGGAGTTGAGGTAGTTGGGATGGTTGATGGAGGGACAAGTAGGAGTAGATTTGATGACTTTTGGATGGATTCGGGTGTAAAAGTAGTTTGACAGGTGGATGTGTTGTGAGTGAGGATTTTGAATGGAAAAGAGTTTTCATGGAATATGACATGCCTAGATATGATGATTTTGTCTAATGCGTGATTATAACATTTGAAGCCTTTATGCGTGGGGGAGAGTAGCCAAGATAGACTCATGGAGTAGTTTGACAGGTGGATGTGTTGTGAGTGAGGATTTTGAATGGAAAAGAGTTTTCATGGAATATGACATGCATGAATATGATGATTTTGTCTAATGTGTGATTATAACATTTGAAGCCTTTATGTGTGGGGGAGAGTAGCCAAGATAGACTCATGGAGCGGAACGAGGTGCAAGTTTATGAGGTGTTGTATGCTTGAGCCATGGGTAGCAACAACAACCGAATACTCTTAGGTGAGAGTGAGTTGGCGGTTGTTTATGTAGTTGTTCATAAGGAGAAATAAAATTGTTATACTTGGAGGGCATGCGGTTAATTAGGCATAGTGTTGTTTGAAGTGCGTTGACCCAAAAATTAAATCGAACAGAGGTGTCATAGAGAAGTGTTCTTGTTGTTTGAATTAGATGACGGTGCTTGCATTCGGCGACACTGTTCTGTTCCAGTGTATACGGGTAAGAGAATTGATGGAGAATTCCTTCTTAGGATACTGACGGTTGTTTTGAACTGAGTTTGAATCATTTTTATGAAGAAAATGCATCTTTGAGTGGTTTCAGATTCATGGTGCATGGGAAATAACCAACAAAACATGAAATAAGCGTCAATAAAGAGAACGTACTATCTATATTCTTGATTAGAGAAAATTGGGGAGGGTACCCATACATATGAGTGAATAAGTTGAAAAGGTAACTAAAAATGTGAATACATTGAAGGAAAAGGTAATTTGTCACTCTTTGTGCAATCACAACTTTCACATGACAATGACTTTGTTGAAATTGCAAGGGATGGATTTTTCTTGGAGATGCGATGAAGGATGTTTGCTTTAGGGTGGTCCAAGCGCTTGTGCCATATGAGTGGATTGTTGATGGTTGTAGCAAAAGCTTGATGAGGTGCTCCAAGCTAGAAGTGGGAACTGAAGGTTGGATTGGGTACAGTCCATTCGAACAGTTGCCTCGAAATATTACCTGATTTGTCTAAGGAACAAAAATGTGAAAAACATGAGAGTTAAATATAATGGAAAGATTATTATCAACGGTTAATTTTTGTACAGAAAGAAAATTGTGTGTTAGGGAAGGGGAGTGTCATATGTTGGAGAGGTTAGGCTTACGCTCGGGCGTCGGGAGGATGTCGTTACCGTAGTGATGAACTGGGATAGATTGGTCATTTCCTACCAGTATTTGTTCCTCTGAGGTGGTTGGCGTGGTTGTTTGAAGGTGGTTAAAATCATATATTAGGTGGGTTGTTCTGTCGGTATCAAGAACTCAAGGTGTGGTAGAGGCTTGTAGGGCTCAGCTGGATGGTACATAGTCTAGGTTCGAATAGTGCCAAAAGGATGTTGTTGAGTGACCTGTTTGATGGCAAATTTGACAAATAATAGAGGATTTGGGTTGAGGTCTCCTACCTTTCATCCGTTGATTGGGGGATATGAATTCCTACATTAACAATGAGACGCATTCGAGGTGCGGTCGCGTGGAGTTACAAGGGCAGGTTGCTGGTTAGCGACTAGTTCAGTCTTAAGTGTTTCATTGAGTTAGTTGATTTCTTCACTACATAATAGTGAGTATAAACTGACTAAACCCATCGGTTGTAGTTGAGTTTGGATTGTCTTGATTGATAGTGCGTTGGCAGTCTGTTATGTATGTACAAGATCACATCCTCATTGTCTAAGTGACCTCCAGGTACAGATATGTTGTCTACTACCGTTTCAATTTTGGCTATATACCGTGTCATGGATAGGGTATTCATCGTCATAGTGTGGAGCTCGTTTTTAGTTGAATTAGTCAAGATCTGTTAGTGGGTTGGAGGCACTTCGACATAGTCATACTTCTGCAGCGGTAGATAAGTGGAGTATGTAGGGAAGGATTGTTGGTGAAATGATTGAGTAGAGAACAATTGTGAGGTTTTGATCCACTAGAAACCACATGGGATAGGTTGGATTGATGATTCGTATGGTGGTTTGGGAGGGGAGAAATTGAGGCGGACAAGAAATGTTGCCGTCGAGATATCCGAGAAATCCGTTGGCAGAAAAAATTTTGACCACTTAGGAGTTCCATAGAGGGTAGTTATCAGGAGAGAGTTGAGTTTGAGTAATATTTTTTATATTGCTCGTGAGAAATTTGAGATTAGGTGGAATAACAGGAATGCATCTTCCTTATTCATCTTCGATGGACAAGTCGGTCAGTTCAGAGGACTGCGAGGTTGTCATTGCTGAGATTGTAGTGTTCGGTGATGAAGGAAGATCGAAGCTCGTTATAGCAAAAGGTGCTCTAATACCATAAAAACCACAGAAGAATGAAGAGGATACAGGGATGGAATAGAGAATGAAAATGCATAATACTTTGTATAAGAAGAAACAAAAACAATTAACTTTGTTACGAGGAAAGCTATTACATATATAGATGAAGGTCGAGATAATATTCTCTACAAGAGTTGGTTATGATATGGCATGTACAAGTAATGATGGGAAGAGTGGTGGTCCTACCATACAGCAGGTGATGAGAAGCATTACCCGAATTACTTAATAGAAGGTGTTGATATTATGAACAAACCTCCTGATATTCTCGTAAAGTTCTTCTAACAACACTTTTAGATCTTTATGCTCATCACATGTATGTGGGACCAACTTTATAGGTTCCCCTTTTTCATTTATTCAATTAAATATTAAAAGTGAAGCTAATTCTAATATGCAAAAATTTTTAAAACTTAATCTACCAATTTTATTTTATTTGCTTTCGTGTTAGTGCAAACCTCCCTGAATTATTTTTTGTTTTTTTTATTCTACGAGTTATGCCCATCATAAGTCTATTTGTAGCTCCCTTACCTATAGTAGGCATTACATCCACCATTTATCAGACCTGACCTAAATGCTTGTCGTTTAGCATTACTATTCATCGACATTAGGGGTGTAAACGAGCCGAACAGAAGCGAGCCCACACCAGTCTCAGCTCGTGTTCGGCTCGTTTATATTTCAAGCTCAAAAAATGTGTTCATGTTCAACTCGTTTCAGTTGTCCAAAGGAAGACATGATAGGGAGAACTGTGCAAATACTACTATTAAAACCAAAAATAATGCAGAATTTAGTCCATTTACATGGGAGCAATTTGAAGGCACTATAGGAAATGTTGGGTCATGGTTACAATTTCATACAAGCATCACAATTCTCTACTAAGCAACCTACTAGATTGTTAGCACTTCAAGATATATTAGCCGTGCTCATATTGTTCAAATCAATTAACGAAAACATTGGATATTTGAGCTTGGAGCTTCAAATCATATGAAGAAAGACATCAACATCTTCAAAAGTTACAACACCAGTCACTCTACAGTTTGAGTAATTGACGATTCATTATCACCAAAAGTAGTGAATAGAATTTTGAGATACTTGAAGATGACTCCTGGATATGGATTGCTCTTCAAAAAGTTGAAAAATGTAATATACATGTATATATATATATATATATACATGTATAGATGTATACATGTATACATATATACATGTATACATGTATATACGTATACATATATACATGTATA